GGAAAGAGGCACAGCAGTGAGCCCAAGCCCTCCTAAATAAAGGCAAATATTTCTGCCATGCCAAGAAAGGAGAGAGAAAGGGAGGCTTGCCAGAGCTGGTGGGGAGATAACAGTGGGAACTGCTAGTCCATCTGGTTTTCATTCTGCTAACACTCACATTGAACTGTTAAGGAAGGCAGTCCAGGTACACAGATTTGAAGCATGTGGGAGCGCAGACACAGGCACAGAGGAGATGGAGGTGGGTGGAAGAAGGAGTGAGAGAAATCGAACTCCTCTAACAGTCTGCTGCTCGCAGCAAGCAGGCACAGCCTGTATCCTCCAATTCAGCTGTTGATAACTAAAAGCGATCCCGAGCCTGTAACCAACTGCACGGCTCCTGCTCCCCTCCTTTGCTGCATTTCAAAGTTCAGGTTTGATCAGAAACGCGCTCAGATTGAAGGGGGGAGGCTTTCCCAAAAAGCTGGCAATGTTTTGTTACTTAAATTGAACACGGTAGTGGGAAATAGTGTGTTGGTTTTGCCCTCCAATTTCAGATTGCCATTCTACTGCGATCCAACTGGTTTTTACTCCCTCGAACAGTGTCTGCCACCCGGTTTGCAGATCGCTGAAATTATCCACAGACCTCTGTACTTCTTTTATAAATCCAATGACATTAGGCTTGATTTTCCTAATTACCTTTCTTTGGACCTCTTGGGGGTAAAAAAAAAAACCCTCTACAGGCCACTTACCTTTGCTTAACCTCTCTCTCCCCCTTGCAAAGCCCTAAACCCCACTCTGCTAATGTATGATTGCAGGCAGATTTATCTCTGGTTGTCCATAAGTTCCCTAGCCCTGCCTTCTGTAAGGAGATATAAGGCTCCTTCCAAGCACACCTCAAAACACTTCTAACCAGGGTGCAAGATTATCTTGTCAGAGCAGAGACTCTCCTTGGCGGGGGCGGGGAAAGGGGCCTTTGAAGAAGTACAATGCAAAATGCAAAGTTCTTCCATGTGTTCTCCTGGGCTTCCACCACCACACCGCCCAGGAGAACAGCCTTTACATCCCACTTTTCCACCCTCTTTAATAGCAAAACTCCTGCAGGAGCCATTCTGCTCTTACTGCTAATATTTACCTGTTCCTTGCCTCTCCAGCTGGTTCCCTAACCTCCGAGGCAGCTATGGGGCTGGGAGCACCCACCACCGTCCCACCACCCACAACCCTGGAGAACCTCAGCAGCTCTGTTTTTAAGAGGTAGATCTCTCAGGGGGTGGAGGGGTGATGGAGCACAAAACAGAGCCACCGCTGAGAAAAGCGTTACCAGTTCTTGTGATCTGAACTCCTAAAGCTTGTAGTGCCTGATACTTAGCCTAGAACTCCCTTCTACAAATCATTATTTATTTTTTTTAATTTAAAAAAAAACCCAAACAAACCAAACCCAACAACCAACACATTTTACTCTAATTGTTGAAAAATAGCCTGATATGAAAGCTAAAGGCAAAATAGTATTTAAATCATGTTCACGAGCCAAGTTTCCCCTAAACCATGTTATTCCATGAGGGCTTTTACGTATAGACGTTTTTTCCTACAAACTCTCTGTGGATATTCTGCTATCTGTACATTCAGAGGTGATGAGGGTTTGGGAGGGGAAGAAAGAATTCCTCAAGAGGAAAAACTCTATTTTTTACATGTGAAAACCTGCCTGTGTAAGATTTCATGTACATTTGCTCCGGTTTTATAATACATTGAACTTTGCCTGAAATTTGGAATAACTTTAAGGAAAACGATTTCTTAAAATTGCTTAATTTCTTGAATTCAAAAACATTTTTATGCTTTTGTGTCAAACCAAACTCCCCATTTGCAAAGCTAGTTCTGATTTTTTTTTTTCTCTGTTGGTCTCTGACATTTCAAACAATAATCCTGAATTAGCAGGGACACACCAGAAAGTTTCATACAGGCAGTACCCCACAGCACCACACGTTTCAGAGCACAGGCTGTGTATTACAGAGAGAGTAACTTCTTTCAGGTGCAAAGGTTTCTTCCACCAAATCCCTCTAAACAGTGACAGACTTGCAACTCCTTAGCCCAGTTCAGATCAAATGGGGCTGAAACCAGAGGTCCTCCAAACCGGAGGGAAAAGGAGACATCTGCAATTCATTCTGCAGTGTTCGCTGCAATCAATTCAGGATGGAGCTAGATGGTGAAATAATGGTCTAGTCCTAATCCATACACACAACCTTCTGGTGCAGTGAGAGACTTAGAATAAATTCAGAAAATATGTTTCAAGTATGCAGAGATCTATTGCATTTGCTTTGGATTATATTTTTTATTTAAAAAAAAAAAAAAACACCAAACAGTTTGAAATATACATTCTTGAATCTCTTTTACAGCATAGAATGAAGAACTGTGATTTTACCACAGAAGTATTTTGCTCCATTTTAAATTAAAGAATGTTGTAAAACCAACTTTAAATCATGATATTTCTTCTGTGGATTTCCTGGTTCATGAAACTATACTGTTCTTGTCATTCATTCAGTTTTTATGGTAGGAGTTATTTTTACCACTATATTTAGCTGTTAGGTGAACACTGATATTTACCGTAAGCACAGCCAGCTTCTGAAGACAAATAGGGAACAGGCAGGAGCAGGGGCAAAGAGAGATGTGCATGTATTCAAACTGATTTACTTTACTTCCTGTACCCTAAGAGATTTAGTCCATTTTTAAAAC